AGTGTGTTTCTAATATTTCTGTTCCTGTTCTGATCTAGGCCAGCAGAAACCTAGGTTCTCATCCTAATCTGCCCACATGAGATTTCTTCCAAGGAACTGGAGCTTTTTGAGTGAAGAGTTAGCTTGATTTTCTCAAGATAGCCTTCCTACCTTGATTTAGTTTTTCTTTAGCATAGTTAATCTACTGTCTGCTTTTTCTTTTTCTTTTGTGGGATGGAGGAGATTGGTGGTGGGCAAAGGACATCCTGTTTGACTTTATGAAGGAGAATCTGAAGGTCTGTATTTCAAAGGAAGCTGAGTGGGCACTTCCAGACAGCTTGGAACAAGGGAGTCTTGATGAACGTTGGAGGAATGCAGTGGAGATATGAATGTGCCGGTAGAGCCGCAGTTGCTCAGCGACAAGCGCGGGGCTGAGAGCTTATCTTTGGCTCTATTTCAGTTACACAGCCGTGCTCCTTAGATGGTAAGAACAATGGCCCAATCGTGTTAGGTTTTTCCTGTCATGATCTTGGCACATTTCCAAGCTGGCCTGACATTGCAGGGGAGAGCATCTAATTTATGTCTTACTACTGCAGATGACCATTCTGAACTTTCCAAGAATGGAGAGGCATTTTATAGGCTGAAGATGGAAATATCGCCACATTTACCTGAAATAGAGTCTTGGCATTGTGGAGTCAAAAGGGGCCTTAGCAATCATCCAATCGCATCCCTTATTGTACAGGTTAAGAAAACTGCCCTGAGACTAAATGGTTTCCAAAGATTGCATATTAAAAGCAAGGAGAAATCTCTGAGGTGAGCAAGTTTTTGTGGCATGGCGATAAACATGGTTACTACCATGCTTTTTTTGCAGGTAACAATTATCCTTTACAGCATGTTATCTGCAGCTGTTTTGATAATGCCATTGACTTTTTTCCCATTCCATTTTTCAGAAACTCAATGTTGAAACATTTCAGGCCCACATTTGCAAAGGCACAGTAGATACCAAAGTTTAAAATAATCACAATCACTAGTGAGGTGGCCTCTGAGAGTTTTGTTTTTTTTTCTTTGATGGCATATACCTTTTGGCGATTACCTCAGAGGATGAGTTGATCAACTGAGGTGTTCATTGTACATTGAGTTTACAGCACTTTGAAGGTCTTATAGCCAAGAAAGATTAAAGGTTACATACATTCATCTCTGATGTGTTGCTTCTACTTCAGAGAATATAAAAAAAATGGAAAAATTTCATTTCCATGGATTATTTCTTGTTTGAATCTAAAATCTGCTGGTAAGTTCACCTGATTATCTTAAGTTCATTTTTTAAGTTTGTAAGGACTAATTGCAAAATTCCCAGCAAAAGGCATGTGCTTTTTTCATATTTCAGGAACAGATTTGTCTAACTCTTACATTATGCATAGAATTATATTAAAGCCACATTAAGCAGAGAAAAAAAAGAAATGAGGTTTTTGGTTTTTTTTAGAAATTAGAAAATAAAATAATTTCTGTACCATTCCCCTGAACAGTGGAAAATCATGGCAAGTTTTAAAACCTTATAATGCCTAGTACATAGTATGCACTTAGTGAATTTTGTTGGAGGAAAGAACTAATGAATATAATACTGAAACCACTTGAAGTTTCTTACCTCTTAAAGTTGACTCACAGGATACTAGTTTGTTAAAGGTCATATATTTAAAAGTATGTCAGAGTTGAGTATAGTAAGAGTAGCAATGACCCAAAAGTTCAAAGACCTTGTTTCAAGGCAGGGCACCAACAATAAATAAATAGCAGAATAGCGTGAAAAACTTGACTTAACTCTGCTGAGTTTCAGAGTCTTTATAGGTGGAGTGATTGATTTGGAGCAGGTTAATTCTAATATTCCCAGCAGCTTCAAAATTCCACATCTGAATAATTCAAATTAAGGAAAATTGGATCTAAATTTAATAAGCACTGATATAGTACCTGTTGTGTGCCAGGTAATTTTATAGGTGCTTTACATGATATGTGATCATGCAATAATAATAATTAAGCATTAACTATGCATGCATAATTAATTTTCCTATACTGTAAATTATAAGTAAATGATATTACTATTAAAATGATAGTAATTTTATTAAAATTCAACATAATACAAATCATTAAAAAAGAATAGAAATAAAATAATACTTGGAATTGAAAATAACATAAGAATAAAGTATTCATTTCATTTAAAATACTAAATAAAAATGACATGGCTGATATATGTGATCTTATCTTTATCTGACTTGAGAGAATATACCAACCACGACACATGACTTCACATCAGTGTATCATTGTATGTAATTTGTTTTTCATAAATTTGAATGTCCTCACACTTATTAAATCATGTAGAAGAAAACTTGTGAAACAAGTCGGTATCACATCTTAATATAAAATTCATTATAAATGTTTCCAGTGCACAATTCATTTTAGAAAAATAAGCTAAAAACCATTGTGCATTCCACAGTAAACGGTAAAGCAGTGGGCACATATTTGCCTGTATGCCTAGAACAGAAAGTAATACAGTCAAAGGAGAAGGAAATTTGATTGGGAAGATACTAAGAGGCTTCAATTTCTAGGCCTTATAATAGTCAAAATCTCAAGCTAGAAAGATAAAAATGGACAGAAATTTGGCAAGTTCAGTGAATTCCATGTCTGGACATAGTGTGTGAATCCTTGTCTTATTATATTGACAACTGCAGAGGCTCCACATATTTTCATCCCCTCCCTGCATCTTCTCTGCTTCTACTCATTCTTTTTTTTTTAATTAATTAATTAATTTTTTAAAAGATTTATTTATTTATACAAGCGCTGGGTATAATCAGAAGCGTGGGAGGGTGAGAGGATTCACCAGAGCCAGAGTGGGGAACAGAACAGGCAGACTGATGAAATACATTGCTGAGGGGAGCAGTGGGCGTGGCAGGAGAGGTCTGTCACCATGTGGGACCCTCGCCATTCGCCGGGATCTAACTGGCGCTGCAGAGGCTGCGGGCAGCTTCGCAGCCCAGCGCTCAACCGCTGTGCCACCAGGGGATGTCCTCTACTCATTCTTTATGGCCAAACTTGGGTACCACTTCCTCTAAGAAGATTTCCCCGAGTCAACACACACCCACCTCCTCCCACACCCACAAATGTTCTCTCCCCATACAATATGTATATCTTGTGCAAATTTCAAACATTATTTGTATTATCCAGCCTACTAGGTTGCATTACATTATTGGCCCATAGTCTTTTTCATTCAGTGAACTGTGAGCAGTTTGAGAAGAGGAACTATGTTTAGTTCATTGATGGGTTCCCAGAGTGCCTGACACAAATAACATGCATAAGATGTTTTTGTTGAATGTCTAGATGGGTAGATTACAGCAATAACTGGCATTTGCTATTAAAATAGTTTGAATCATTGGATCTCCTCCCTGCATTATAGTTTGGTTAGAAAATGTGGCGAAAATTGACTATGTTCCAAACAGGGCAGTGAAATGAGGGATGAAGCTCTTGCACATCTGTGGAGTATCTTTAAAATCAACAATTTGGTTTGTCATTCTTTATTCCCCCTTCCCTGAGAATAGTGGAGAAATTGGGGGAAAATGAAACATAATTCTTAAAAATCCATTCAACATATCAATATCATTACTAAACATTTATTGTCCATAGTGCTATGAATCCTAGACAGATGGAGCATTTATTATCAAAAACACTGTAGTTAAGATATTTAAGAAGCATTCATAAGAGAAAAAAGCAATACCTGACACCCAAGATCAATGTTTACCTGAAAGAACATGTAATAAGAATAATACAAAGATCAGAGGCTAAGTTGGCCAGAATTCCCAAGAAGTCCCCACCAGGCAGGAGAGCTAGATTGGATCATCATAGCTTAAAACCTGCTCTCATCTATAAGGTCCTAGACCTAGACATGGTCATGTCCAAGGACACTAGCATATCATACACCAAACTTATTAGATCTTGAAAACCCTTTAATTATGATTTAGACACGGACACAGAGGAAACAGAACTGGATGCTACTGGAGATGCTTTAGTCGCACAATGCAAATACAGAGGCCTGACTTTCCACACTGCCTTTCTCTTCAGGAATCAAAGTCTAGATCCAGATTTCCCCTTTAAGGCAGTACTGAATAAATAGAGAGCAGGGTCGTTCCAGGTATTTATTATATATGGTAACTATCAATATTATGGGATTTCAAAAGATTGAAAGATGACATTCAGCCAGAGATCAAGAAAAGCATTATACAAGTGATATTTCAACAATGTCTTAGGTAGCTTAGAGTTTGCAATGTGCACTGGTGAAGAACAATCTAAAGAGGAGGGAGAGCATGAGCAAAGAAAGTAATTGGTTGTTTTTGGTAGACACAAGTTATGTGATGGAGAATAGTAGAATAACATGAAGGAAAGATGGAACCAGATCATGAAGGGGCTTGAAAGGAAAAATGGGACAACAGGGAGTCATAGAAGAGAAAAAGTATTGTACTTCAAGTAAGTGAATTTGGCTGCAATATGTGAGTTGCCTTGAAGGGGGTAACCCCAGAGAAGCGTTTATTGGGAAGTTTCATACTCTACATTGGTGGATGAAACTAGGTCAGTGGCAGTAACGGTGGAGCAGAGAGACTAGGCAAACAAGAAGTACCATAGTGTTTTCCTTACACTCACACACACACACACACACACACACACACTCCTAAAAAATATATAAACCTATAAGCTATAAAATCTATATGTAACTTAACACAAACCCTTTCTTATTCTTCTGAAAGTCTTCAATTATAGTGAATAGAAGATTGAAAAGTTACTGATGCATTTAGCAAATTTGATTGATTTCTGGCTTGTCAATTAACAAGTTTGATAAAAATGGGATTTTTCAAAGCATCAACACATTGTATGTCCTAAAGGGGAAGGAATCCTATAATAAGTTAATTTTATTGTCCCCCAAAATGTTCCAGTGATTTTTCTAAGTCCTTTCAAACACTTTCTAACAGTGGTAACCCAACTAACAGGAATGTTGCAGAAAACAGAAGCAGGAGCTTTGTGAGAAGTTTGACTACCTGTATGGCATTCTGGAGGAGAGGAAGAATGAAATGGCCCAAGTCATTACTCGAACCCAAGAGGAGAAACTGGATCATGTCCGTGCTCTGATCAAAAAGTATTCTGATCATTTGGAGAATGTATCAAAGTTGGTAGAATCAGGAATCCAGTTCATGGATGAGCCAGAAATGGCAGTGTTTTTGCAGGTAAGCCTCCTTTTGGCACCAGAGGGAACTAGCCAAGAAGGTGGGTGCTGGAGAAGTCATTGTCATTATATTTTTATTATTTTGCTTATCTTATTTTGATCTATTTTACTAACTTAAATATAAATGTGTTATGAGTTTTTATCTCCATCTGTTTAAACAATTCCATAAGCATATATTTAAGGGACTATGACATCACTTAAGTATAAGAGAGTTCTGGCATAAAACAGCAGTTATTTATGGCATTTAAAAACTAAGCTATGAGATTTTCAGAGTCAGCAAAGAATTAAGTCTCAATACCGTCTTTGATGAAAAGAATTTAAGTAGGCCTGTCTTTTGTTTACTTTCACAGAATGCCAAAACCCTGTTACAAAAGTAAGTAATTTTCATTTCATAAAAATTGCATACTTTTCATTTTTATCTGAGGTTATCAAACTTTAAACAGTGACAGAAAGTTGCAACTTGTCTTTGTTGCAGAATTTCTGAAGCATCAAAGGCATTTCAGATGGAGAAAATAGAACATGGTTATGAGAACATGAACCACTTCACAGTCAACCTCAATAGAGAAGAAAAAATAATACGTGAAATTGATTTTTACAGAGGTTTGTTATTCTTATGACCATTGGGCAAAAATTGCAGGTGTGTGAAAGCTGCAGAAGGATTCAGTGGGAGGAAAGGGGGATTCAGAATCACCTCCAGAATGGATGTCGACAATTTTACAAGGAAAATAATCCAATGTGAAGCTCTATTTCATTACAGAATCATAAGTTTGTTGGCTGTGTTTATTTAGCTTTTCATATCATAGTGTCTATTCTACTGCCATCATTTGGAGCATTTGACTCTGGGTAGTGAAATAATAACTGACGGTGATGAAGAGCTATCTCAGCTTCAACCCTACGCAAGGGGTTAGCCATAACGATGTAAAGTATCATCAGATGCAAAGTTAAGGATGCACTAAAAATAAAACATAAAAGCCACTTGGGTAAATATTGTAGATACCTGCTTAAATTTTAGAGGGCAAGAAGAGTAATGAGTCAGAAAAAAGTCACAAATTGGAAATAAAGCCAGTTCTATGTAACCAGATATACTCCAGAAGTTATAAACATCCCTCTGCCATTTGGCCCAGAAGTCCCACTCCTGGACATTTAACCTGATGAAATAATTGAAAAGAGAAAAGTAACCTTGGAACTAATCAAAACTTTGATCTCCTGATTCACCCTAACCCATCTGATCGATGTGACACAACTCCTCAGCCAGGCCGCTCGCAGTGGCAGGAAGCTGCATCAATGTCCACAGATGTAATTATAGAAGGGGACCTTCAGGATGGATCTTTTTGAAAAAAAAATTATATAATGTTGTCTGTTCATAATTGCCTGTGTAAATATTGAGACTGATGGGTCAGGAAAAGAGGCATGGCATTAATAGTGTCAAAATTGAGCATTCACTGAACAAAGGTGATAAATTAAAATAAGACGAGCCTTTTGGATGTTTTCTGAGAAGTAAAGGATTGTATTTCCGTTTAATTTGACAGAGATAATTAAATGACAATCCCAGCCCTCTAGAAGCTTGCAGAAGTGACAGAGCATTTTAAAATGTGTATGGGGGTGGGGAGGTGGTCCCAGCAGTGGGGAGACCGCACATTGCACTGAGAAGGGGAGCAGAGGGTGGTGATGATTGTGTTCACCTTCACACTGTGCTGTCCACATTTAACTAGAAGCACAAAGTCCCAACGTGGGTCCAGCATTTGCTGGAGAGGATTTTTCTAGCCTTGACTTTAATCTGGGTTATAAGCACTGGCCATTAATTGTTTCTATGGCTGCAGTAGTAATTATAATAATTTGAAAAACACATTACCTTACCAGAAGATGAAGATGAAGAAGAAGAAGGAGAAGGAGAACAAGATGGTGAAGGAGGAGAAATAGAAGAAGGAGAAGTCATAGAAACAGAAGAGGTAGAAAATATTCGAACAGAGTCATCAGGAGAAGATGAGCATCCAGAGGAAGGCTTGGAGCCCTCGCAGCTGGCCACCGAGCTCCAGGCTGCCTCGGGGGCACAGCCGGTTTCCTCTCCGGAGCCTCCTGCTGCAGATGCCCTAGTGGCACAGGTAACCATTTGTGAGTTCCTACCTGTAAGAGATGCAGATGTGCTTCTTGGCTGAATAGCCTAAACAATTTATTCTACCTTAAGAAAAAGATAACTATATGCCAGACTTTCATATGTGGAAGACAAAAGATTTCAGAGCAGTGCTGGGTCAGGGAGAAAAGTCTTTTAGATAATTCAACAAGTTTGTTGTTATGTAACTGACTGGCAAGAACTTAGTTTAAGATAACGTGCCCAGCAATCTGAAGCAATCTTTGTCTGGAAAGTGTGTGTGTGTGAAGTTGTATGTGGATTAGGTATGAGCTGAAAATGGATATAAGGTATTGAGTAAAAAATAAAAATGATTATACTTTAAGAATTTTGAATTTTCTGTAGCTAATAAAGGACATAAATAAGGAAGTGGCAATAGTTTATGTCCTTCTTACTTACCCTGAAATATAATTATATGTTTCACTCATTGGAAAAACAAATGAAGCCTAGCATGGGACTGTCACTTGATGAAATTATGTTGACAGAATTGTTTCAAAAATTTCTAGGAAATTAGTTCATCCCAGATGCTGTACCTGACTGATTGACCTTGTCTTCTAAGATGTCACAGTCCAGTTTTCAAGCCTTTGTGTTGACTCCGTGATACCTACAGCAGACAGGTCCTAACCTGTTGATTTTATGTGCATTACAGACTTATCAAAAGAAGACCTGGTTTTGCCCCTACCTTGAGAGAGGACTGAAATGATTTATAGAAACAAGGCTCAGAGGGAGACTTCCTCTGAGAAGACTATGGAATTATAGTCTTTTTTCTATAAGAAACCAGGTTAAAATACTATCTGCAATTGTTAGGATCTTGAAATTCTGGGAATAATCAATTGCTCTTAAACTGAAAAAGGCGTGGTTAGCAAATGAGAGTTGGATTTGGTGAATAAGATCAATCTGGGGCTTCAGAAAAGAGGCTTAGGGGGTCCACAAATAATGTCAAAAATTAATTCAGGCCAATAGTTTGACCTTCTATAGCTGATATTTGATTAGCAACTTTCATTTTGGGCTTCTGCTCTGACTTCTTGGGCTACCAGGTAGTAAAAGACAAGCCCAGAAAAGAAGAGGGGCACATGGGGCTGCCCCCGGGGTGGGGGGATTGGGGAGAGAGCTGGGTCAGCATCGCTTCCTGCAGCACTGGCCAGGGTGGGATGAGCTAAAACATACACTACATTAGGCACTGCAGACAGAGAGCTCACAGTTTTCAAACCTGAAGGAAACTAAAATCGATTGCTTTTCTTCTTCCTTTTTTTTTTACTTTTGAATTTATCTGTCCTGATTAAGGGGGAGGTTGTGCCCACTGACTCTCAGCAGACCACAGAGTCTGAAACTCCAGTCCCTGCAGCAACGGACACTGCGGATCCCTTATTTTACCCTAGTTGGTATAAAGGCCAAACTCGGAAAGCCACTACCAACCCACCTACCACCCCAGGGAGCCAAGGTCTGGGGCAAATAGGGCCTCCAGACGCTGAGGAGTCGAATGTGCAGAAGGCAGAAGTGGCAGAAGCCGCAGCCAGTGAGAGGGCAGCAGTGAGTGGTAAGGAAACTAGTTCACCTGCAGCTACTTCTCAGGTTAGTGTTGATGCTCTTGTGTCTGGATGCTTCCCCATGCTGCCTAGGGTCCTGTTGGAATCACAGCAAGAAAGAAGGGCTCTCAGAGGGGCAGAGAGGAACCATATCCTTGGGAAAAACACAGAAACAACTCAAATCCCTCCTCACCTCAGGCTGGCTTGTTGTTTAAGCCATATATAAAAGAAAAATTGAAAACCAAATTTAAATTCACTGTGCCCATGTGTGGTGACCTCACACCTGACTTCTGCGGAGTGGGTGCAAGCAAGCCTGGCCCTGAGGCATGCAACTGAAATCTGGTTTGTGTGTGGCGATTGGCTGCTGTCTCGGGTTGTCCTTTGCAATGGCTACTTGCCCTTGCTCCTCCTTGGGCTTCAAAGACTAATCACCTGCTTTTGTGTCATTCCCAGCAACCCCCAAGGAGCACGTTTGAATTGAATTTTAAGTCTGCTCTGGAAAATAACCTCTGATTCATGGATCTGGGGAGTGTGCTGGCTGTAGCTAGGCAAAGGCAGTTTGGGCTTGATTAAACTGATGCTTCCTAAGCATGTGTTCCTGGGAAAAGCTGAGAAAAGCACAGGTTTTCTTCACTTTTTTGAAGGGAAACTCAATACCTTTTTATTTTTCCTTCTTATAACGAACGTTTGAAGTCAATGTCTTCTTCCTAACACTGGGCAGATATTTGCATGACTTGAAGATCCCATAGCAGAAATCTATGACTTCTTCACAAGGGAAAATGTTCATGGTCACTCCATACCCATGAGCATTCTTAAATGCCGTGTGTGTGTGAGTGTTGCCCAAACAAGGTGCTGTCAAAGAAATATTCTAATTCCCTACTCCTGGGTCATCAGGTGATTATGAACAACAAACTTTTTTTTCAGAAATCGGATAATTACTCAAGTGAATTTCAATTTCTTGAGGTAATAAAAGGAAATGGCTTTTGGAAAATTAAAAGTAATAGGTTTTTGTGCTAACTAGTTGAAAATAAATGGTGTGAGGAAACATTTGAAGAAAGATTTGAAGAAATATTTTAGGTTAGAAAAATGGAGTAGACAGGTTATTTCTAAAAAGACCACATAGCTGATGAAAGTTGAACACAGAGGAACATGTAATAAGGCTCTGAGTCAAAATACAAAGTCCATCTAATGATGTTGGAAAAATTATTTGTGATAATATCAGTGAAGTTTTCTTCTTGTTTTCTCACAGGAGTTAGCAATCTGCCTAGCGCTTTTGGCTTTTCTTATACTTCACATCTGGCGTCAGATTCAGTGCTTGATTTTTACTTTAATGGGTAGGAAATATTTTCTTTTCCATTGACTAACATTTCATGTAGTTTCTTCCATAATGTTCCTCTTCTGTAGGCCCAGAGATGAATTTCTCCCCAACCTTGAGCCTCAGCCATCTAAAATGAACCAAGATCCTAGACAAATCTCATGGCCTCAAGCCCCTGACAATGCAATTGCCTCAAGACACCTTCCTGGAGGAGACTTGCTCAATTATCTAATCCTGCATGGAGGGGACTCCTGACTCACAACAGTGACTCAGTGGGCAATTATTCAGCAATCCAGTTGGAGGAAACTCATTATAATGGTGATAAGGGCATGCCAGTTTGTAAAGGTGTTCATATAGTGTGAGGTTTCCTACTCTTAATGTATACGGAGGAGCAGCAAAGGACTCACTCAGGAATATGTAGGATTTCTGTAGATTTGGTAGCAGCATTTCATCTGCTCACTCCAGAATTTCCTAGGGAGTGGTCTGATGATCCCATTCAAGGATACTGTTGTAGGCGGTTTTTGCATTGGTAGGTTGGTAAATTCTTTTTCAGCCCTCAAGACCCTCAGAGTCTCTCTTGAGAAAGGAGGAAGGTGCCTGTGTACAGAAACATCAGGGCAGTTGTAGTCAGTTGAACTCTGAATGAATTAACAGTCAAAAGATCAGGGTTCATCTAGGAGCCTTAAGAAAGTCAAAGCAAAGCAAGGTTACAAAGTCAACAAACAACCCCTGCGTATTATTTTTGAGTCACATTTATCATAGTCAAGCCTTTTCTTGTTTAGTGTTATATTATCAGTTTAATTAATAGTTTTTAAAAAATTCAAGCCCCATGTACATTTGAGTAAAAGACCCTGCTGGACTTGAGATCCAGCTCCCTGTGCCTGTAGTTGAGAAGCAATTCAGAGTGACTGATGCTGAAAGGCTTCGGCTATTTCTGGCTCATTGATTTTTCTCTGGATTGACATTGACTTTTCTTGAAGCTTGCACCATACAGTTCCTTTCATTTTTTTAAAATCTATTTATATATATTTTACATTATTGCTCATATTTGTTTGGTGTTTGCTTTCTTTTCTCAGCTGTAGTCCCCATAGAATTTCCACCACCAGTTCACCCATGCTCCATCACCATAGTCCCTTGTGCTCTTTCTGCCTTTATTTTGATCCTTCTCCCTCCCTCTCCCCTGCAGAATGTCTCTGATTTATAGTGTCTGTTTATTTTTGTTTTGTTTTGTTGTGGTTTTTATTGTTATTATTTTTCTCCCTGATCTTATTTGGTTCCCCTATATTCCTCCTATAAGTGAAACCATCTGATATTTTTCTTTTTCCTTCTGACGTATCTCACTGAACATAATCCCTTCTAGATCAACCCATATTCCTGAGAATGGCATTAGTTTATCTTTTTTGATTGCTGAATAGTATTCCATTTTGTATATATATCACATCTTCTTGATTCAGTCATCTATTTTGGGGCATTTTGTTTGTTTCCAAATCTTACCTATTATAAATAGTGCTGCAATAAACATAGGGGTGCAAACAGTCTTCTGAATTAATGTTTTTGTGTCCTTTGGGTAGATCCCTATGAGTGGAATTGCTGGGTCATATGGTAGTTTCATTTTTAGTAGTCTAAGGAACCTCCACACCGCTTTCCATAGTGGTTGGACCAGTTTGCATTCCCAACAGCAGTGTAGGAGAGTTCTTTTTCACCACATCCTCACTAACATTTCTTGTTGCTAGTTTTTAAATATGTGCCAATCTTCCTGGTGTAAAGTGGTGTCTTGTTGTGGGTTTTTTTTTTTTAAGATTTATTTATTTATTTATACAAGAACCAGGGTACAGACCAGATATACAGGAGGGTGAGAGGATTCACCAGAGACAGAGCAGGGATGTTGAACATTTTTTCAAAAGACTGCTGGCCATTTGCATTCCCTCTTTGGAGAAGTGTCTTTTAAGTTCTTGTGCCCATTTTTTTGACTGGACATATAGTTCCTTTCTGCCTCATTAACTGTTCAGTGATGGTGGTGGGACCTCCACAGGTCCTTGTCATGTCTGTAATTTTAGGGGAGTGAGACCTGCCCCCAGTGTCTAATAGTCAGCCAATAACCTGTGTATCCTAGAGTTTTTGAGGGTCCTTATA